TAGCCATGTTAGTTAAGTCTTCTAGGTATACATAGATATATTTCAGATAGATAGGTAGTCTTCAAACACTTCAAAATCCTACAGAATATGGCATTTAAAATGTTTTAAAAATTTAGACTTTCTGGACAGTAAGACATGTCTGTTCCTGACAGCACCGATTTATTTCAGAGAAGAGAATGGGCATCAAAGACACTCCATATGGAGTTTATCTTCACCTTGACAAAAATAGCCATTTGGACAAGAAACTGTTCTTGGATGGACTGCTTGATCAACTGGACATACAGGACCCATAGAAAGGTAACCACTGAACTTTGCTTGACAAAATGGTCCTTCAGGTTCCTGATTCGCAGAGGAAACTGCCAGACATTCTACAGGACACAGAGAAAAGTGAATGAGAGACTCTAGGTATGTGGGCTGAAGACAGATGCTCCAACTTTACAAGAGAACTTGGAATGACTGTCCAGGCTGTCAGTTGTCTCTGTCTACCCTGCAAGACTCCCGAAAGTTGCTTGCATCCTTCTCCCATTTCTCAGGTCGTATTATATCCTTCTGCGGTCTTTGATGTGGTTGAAGACTAGATACTTACAATTTTCCTTAGTTATGATAAAAGATAAGTTTGATATAAAACCTTAAACTGACAAATATAAGATAGATAAGATATCTTCTTTAATATTGTAACTGTAATTCTTACTCGATAATTGTTTTGTTATATGTAATTTTACTATGTTGAAGTTGAAACCTTCCTTTTTGAAAAAGAACAAAAGGGGAAGTGCTATGGATATCACTCTATATAAATAAAGCACTGATTGGCCAGTGTCCAAGCAGGAAGTATAGGTGGGACAAGGAGAGAGGAGATTTGAGGAAGGAGGAAGGAAAGAGGAGACCGCCTGGAGCTGCCACCAGGACAAAGAAGATGTAAAGTACCAATAAAGATTAATAGAAATGGGCTAAATCTAAGAGTAAGAGCTAGACAATGATAGGTCTGAGCTAATGGCCAAGCAGTTTAAATAATGTAAAAGTCTGTGTGTTTATTTTATAAGTGGGCTCTGGGATTGGCGGGACTTGGTGGCGGGAGCTGGAGAGAAATTCTCCAGCAACACAAAGATACTCAAAGTTGGTTAATTTTATCACAGAGTGCAGTCCTATCCTTTGTCTTTTTTTCAGAGATACTAATTAGAACCAACCAGCATCATAATTTTTCATATTTTTCCATATTATCAGAAGCCTTAATATAAATTCACCAAATACATTGCTATACACAAATGGTAAATCAGAATAATCAAATGAATTCATTGCCTCACATTTGTAAAATAGTTAACACCATGGGCTTTTAGTACTCTCTGAGCTTGTAAGAGAGAATTCAGTAACTGGAGAGGTTTCATTACTTGTAGGTGCTGGCAAATTAGAAAGATATTTCTAGATACTTAATATATACATCTTTATATCTCTGTTGCTCTAGGACCACTTCTGTTACCCAAATATGTATTAGTCAATGTTATCTAGAGTAACAGAACTTATTATTGGCTGGGAATGGAAAGTCTGAGAATACAGAAGTGTCTCTGTCCACAGGGCTATATGTCACACCTGGTCTTCAGTGTATGCTGCAATCCCAAAGAAGTACGCTGTAATATCAGTGGAGGAATGGAGTTGCTTGCAAGGTGAGGGCAAGCAGGCAAAGAGTTAAATCTTCCTTCTTCCTTGTCTTTATATAGTCTTCCAGCAGAATGTGTGGCCCAAATTAAACATATGTCTAACCATCTCAAGGTTTACAAGATTTACAATTGGCTCTTCCTACTTCATAATAAACAAAGAAAATTCCTTCATTGGGGTGTCCCCAGTTTTTAGATTTTAATTAATTTCAGATGTTGACAATCAAGAGGTAGACATCACAATATTCTATGACTATAATATAATGTTTTGCCTGTTATTTGTTACCATTCTATTGCATAATAGCAAACTGCTTCACAGAAGAGTGTCTTAAAACAGTTGTGAAATATGGCTTTGAGAATGAGGAGTAGGAAATTCATCTAGTCAGTTTCTGGTTACATCTGTGCTCTGGACATGTCTTAGAATACCTGGCTTCTTTCTAGGCTATCAGGCACCTGGGGTTTTACTGGCTATTGGTTATAATAAATTGGGTCTGGTTTATGTTCTATCAGTTTTCTTAGTAGATCAATAGAAAACATGTCATTTGTAAATAAAAACAGAATCAAAATATGGGGAATATTCTATGTGTTCCAGGATAATATAGATGGTAATATTTTGAAAGACATACATGTGTATCAGATTCAAAGATACAATATGAGTACAACTAGTAGTATATTTTACATACTGAAACAATATTGTCCTTTGTGTGTGTGTGTGTGTGTGTGTGTGTGTGTGTGTGTGTGTATGTGTGTGTGTGTTTTAAATAATGTTTCTCTGTGTAACAGTCCTGGCTATTCTGGAACTCACTTTTTAGACCAGGCTGACCTTGAACTCAAAGAGATCCTTCTGCTTCTGTCTCCCAAGTACTGGGATTAAAGCCATGCACCACCACTGCCTGGCTATTTTATTCCTTTTAAATGTATTTTCTCATATATTACATCTTGGATATAGTTTCCCCACCTCCTCCCCATGTCCCTTCTCCCTACTCCACATCACTCTTCCATTTCCCCTCAGAAAAGGGCAGGCCTCCCAGGGATATTAACCAGGCATGACAGAAAAAGTTTCAGTTAGACTACATAGCTCCCCCCCCCCTATTAAGACTGTATGAGGCAATCCAGTAGGAGAAATTGGGTCCCAAAAGCAAGTAAACCACCAGAAATAGCCCCTGCTCCCTATGATTGGAGTCCCATAAAAACACCAAACTACACAAGTTGCTGTGGGATATTTGATCACACTGTGAAAATCAGAGACTTTGTTACTAAAATCAAGCTTGGATCATGGGGCAGAACCGGTGACTATTTGACAGGTATTACCCATAGAGAGTACTGAGGATGCAGGAAGATGGATAGAAAAATTAATAAGAAAGAATAGAGAGGGACTTAGAGATTCATAGTCTTTTTGTTCTGGGACAGGTGGAGAGATGCTCTCTTGTTGAGTCTTTGGCAATAAAGGAAGGTCAGCTAGTGCTTCTCAGCTTCTCTGCTCTAGCAGGTTTTCACCCCAACCTCTGACTCTGGAATCTTATTAGTAAATAGAACATCTTAGATAAAAATAACATTTGTCACTCCAATGCATGGCACAACCACACTAACAGAGAAGTCATGTCAGTCTTCACTGCCACATTCACAGCAGTTGGCTACCACTAGCAGAGATTATGGAAAGCAAGCTTAGCAACTTCCAGAGCTAGGGCAGGTACCCAATGGTGTAAGACTCTGTTCTCATGGACCCAATTCGGGCTGAGCCAGCAGCCAGGAATGCATACTAAATGGAGCCTTGTAGTGGATGATTTGGGCATTTAAGGCTTGGCCCACATTGTCAGAGAAGGCTGCAAGTATGCAGAAAGCCAGGTCTAGACCTAGAAAACCTCTGAATATACTTGGATAAGCAAGAAAGAAAAGAAAATGGGTATAGACAGTCATAGAAATAATAGTTTTGAAATAATATAGTAAAGTCTTTAAAGAGAGAGAAACATAATCTAAAAGGAATAAGACATGTATATTGGTGATATTATTAAGGCCATTCCACGTAGTTAAAAGGAAGATTTATTTAGTGGGTAACTTACAAATGAAGGGATAGGTAGGTCGCGGGTCTGGGGAAGGTGTATCGCAGTCCAGTGGTGTTCTTTGGAGCTCTGCTCTATCAACCTCCACCATCCAGGGTCCAGGAATAGAGAGCGAGCTGGCGCATCCTGATCTTGGGTCTCCAGAGTCCTCCCTTGGCCCTGCCTTGTAGGTGTGACAGTTGCCAAAGCCTCAATGGGGGTTGGAACTTCCAGATTAAAGCTGGAATGCCTACCCACTACATCTCTCCCTTTTTGTCTAAATAAGAAGGTTCTAACCTAATACAAGACTATATATAAAGGAATGGTTATCAAATATTGTCTAGGAATAATGAGGGATAATGACCTAGATAAGATGGAACTACAACCAATGTGAACAATATCAAGCAAGAAACACATGCTAAAATCCAGAGAAGTATAGAACATAGGTAAGTGGCATGTTACAAAGATCATTCTAAAAGGTGTTCTATCCTAAAGAACCTGAATCTAATATTTAATATGCTTTATCTAAGATATTATAGATAGATAGATAGATAGATAGATAGATAGATAGATAGATAGATAGATATAAATTGTAACTATAACTGTTAGTCTTTAATACCATCAAAGACCTGAGAAGGAATATAATGCTACCTAAGAAATGGTAGATGGATGCAAGCAACTTTCCGGAATCTTGTAAGAGTAGACTGAGACAGCTGGCAGCCTGGACAGTCACCTAATGTTTCTTAGCATTGTTGGTGTAATTAAATTGGCTACAGGCCTAGAGTATCTGACAGAGCATTTTTAGAAGCAGGAATTCTGAAAGACCATCTTACCCTGTCTTGGCAGAGTATAGTGGTCACTTTCCTTGTGTCCACTTGTCCAGAAAGGACAGCATTGTATTCGTATTGTCAGCAGTCGAGGCAAGGGCAGTTCTTTGCCCAGTAGGCCATTTTGTGCCAAAAAGACAAACTTTCAAATGGAAATGTCTTAGAAGCCCAACATTCTCTCGGGATCAAATTGGTGCTGTCAGGAGCAATTGTGTCTCACGTCAACAGAATTTTAAGTTATTTAAATGCCATATTTTCTAGGTATATGAAGTGTTTGAAGATTACATGTCCATCTGACCTATGTATCTGTAAATCTGGATAACCTAACTATAGAGATGACAAGCAGAGGTGACTATAAACCTATAAGTTTTATCTACCGAAATAACCTAAGGACTAAGGCTTCATGTAAACAAGGTAAACAGTCTATAAGCAAATGTATGGTAAAGAACAATGACTTCAAAATTGTAACAATACACAAGATATTTATAACAGAGGTAGGAATATATAGTGTAATATGCAATATGACAATAATCTTAAATATATATCAATATACCAAATATCCTAAACAGAAGTAGAACATACATAAAGTATGACAGATATAAATTAACATTTGCATCAATATACAAATATTTCAAATAAGAGTAGAAATATATGTACATTATAACAAATATAGTTCTGTATTTGTATCAATACACAAATTATCTTAAACATGAATATAAAAATAGTTTACATTTGTATCAACATATAAAACCTCTGATTTTACCTTGTTGTTTTAAATTTTTTGTCTCTTCTCTCAACCAGCTTTTCCACTGTAACTGCTGGCTATATTCTAGAACAGCTGAAATTAACTGATGCCAGTCATCTGGAATGATTCTCTGTGAGGTAGACCACGAATTTAACATCTGTTTTATGTATGTGGAGTGTATCCCTTACGTAACTACTGCTTCCTTTATATTTTTAAAGTCCCTTGTTGAAATTGGTTGTAATGTATATATATTATATGGCTCGGGGTGTGTGTCATCTGCTGGCTTCTCATGGATGATAACAGGATAAGCCTTTGTATGAGAGCCATTTGGAGATATTACAACCTCTATGGTCTTGCCCTTTTGTTTATTAGGTCCCTTGTCATGTTTACTGATAGTTTCTTTTAGGGCTTGCAAATGAGCACCTAGGGTCTGTTTTAGGGAGTGAACCTCCTCTCTTGCAAGAGACTCCAGATTTTTCATGGAATCATAGAAGTTTTTATGTTCCTTAGAAACACATAATTCCATGGACCTTATCTTTTTAATTAATGATAATGTTTTTTATATATAGTGTCTGGAGAGTTAGTGTTTTGTTTATTAAATATTTATATTTATTATCAATAAGATTAATTTTTGGAATAAGCCTGTTTTATAAATTTTGATCAGCAGATTTTAGAGAAAGAATCTTTTTTGTAAGTCTTTATTGTTATCTTTTAAAGTAGATTTTAGAAAGATAATCTTTTTTTTCTGTAAATCTTTATTGTTAACTTTTAAAGCCTGTATCAGTTACAATTATGACTCATCTTTGTTTTTGTTATTAAACCAGTGTTTGAACATTGTGTGAATTATTATGATGAATGTCAAAATGGTACAGGCCAGATATGTCTTAGGAAGGTCTTATATTTTTAGGAAGATTTCATTTATCATACAGGCAAAAAAGTTTTTAAATTCTTGTGAGGTAATGTTGTCAGCCATATTACAAGAATTATTCAAAATTAGTCAATTTTAAGGAGTAAAATTATCAAGTACTTTTACTTGAAGCAATATGCTTGTTTGCCTCGCTTACCTTTTGTAGTTTTGGGGTGTGTAGTAGCACTTTTCAGCCAGCAGGTGGCGATGGTAGTTCCAATGCAGGGCCTGCTGGTGACTTTGGCTGGCGGCAGCTGAAGGCAGGAATCCAGATGGCTGGGAGCAGGAGCTGGCACTCAGGGAGCAGGGGAATGCCTCACTAACAGCGGGTTTTTTGTTTTTGTTTTTGTTTTTGTTTTTGTTTTTTTTTTTTGCTGGTCTCGGGGTTAAGCTACAGAATTGAGACAGGACTAACTGTTCCCTTTTTCGGGAATGGAACCATGTAGGCATTCCCTGGTTATATGGAACTTTGCAGGTGGGTTTAGGTACCTGCTAGCCAGGGAGGAGGTTGAGGGTGGGAGCCACCCAGGCCTTTGGAATTTGCCCCACTTTGGATGCCAATGCTGGTGAAATTATTAGGGCCACTTCACGTAGTTAAAAGGAAGATTTATTTAGTGGGTAACTTACAAATGAAGAGATAGGTAGGTCGCGGGTATGAGGAAGGTGTATCTCAGTCCAGTGGTGTTCTCTGGAGATCTGCTCAGTCAACCTCCACTATGCACAGTCCAGGAACAGAGAGCGAGCTGGTGCATCCCAATCTTGGGTCTCCAGGGACCTCTCTTGGCCCCGCCTTGTAGGCATGACAGTTGCTGAAGCCTCAATGGGGGTTGGAACTTTCAGATTAAAGCTAAAATGGCTACCCACTACACATGTAAGGAAGGGAAATATTTTAACACAGGATGTTTGGATCCTATAAAATGCTTTATTAACTTTAAGTTTTTTAAAATGCTAACAAGTAAAAAGCAATAGCTGTTAAGAGACAATGGATTGTGAAAAAATTGTTCAATTAAACCATCCTATATATTTTAAGGTTGTCTTAACTTCAGAATGGAAGTCAAAAATATGTTGCATTGGGGGAGAGGAAATAAAAAACTATGGGTATCTTAAACATTATTAAAGATCAGATTTGACTTAGGGAAACCTACTGAAAATCTTGGCTATAGATATGAATGAAGAAACCAAGAAAAACTACATGATAGTTGATGTATATTCTGATCCCTCAACATGGAAACAACTCTAAGGTTCAAGGAGACATAGTAAATATTTTGGCTACAGATTCCTCATGACTTATTTTTATATGCCATACTTTCATTAGGCATGGATGGAGATTTATATTGCACTTTGTTTATGCAGCCCAAATGTGCTTATAAATTTACATATGCCTTTTATTTGCTCAAACATTGAACAGAAAATCATCTTTAGCTGATTTTTGCACATCACACATTCCATTCTTGTCTTTTTGCCGATAAGAATGTGTGGGAGATCAGCCTCCACTTTTATGACCAGGGTATTCTTGAGCAGGGAGAAATGAGAAATATTTGGATAGAAAGAGATACCTAGATGACAAGAGGAAAGACAGACACCCAGGATAGCCCACCAACCCATAACTTTATTCAAAAGGGCTTTTATAACAATGCATGGGAAAGGGCAAAAGACTTCCCCTTGCCAGACATGGCCAAGGCCAAGTGCATACACTTCCAAACACCTGGTATCCAGGCCTATAGCCCAATCATCCTTTTATATAGTCCCACAGGGTAAAGCCACTAGGAAACGTACGTGGGCTCCAAGAATTCAATGAAATTTATTCTTTCAATTTGTTTTTATTTCTTTTATTTAAAGAAATTAATTTTTCTTAAATTTCTTTCTTCACCCAGTATTGATTAAGTAGTAAGTTGTTCAGTTACTATGAGTTTGTAGGCTTTCTGCTTTTTCTGTTGTTGAAATCCAGCTTTAATACATGGTGGTCTGATAAGGTACAGGACATTATTTCAATTTTTATTGCATCCATTGAGACTGAGTATATGGACAATTTTGGAGAATGTTCTGTGAAGTGCTGGTTAGAAAGTTTGTTCTTTTGTATTTGGGTGAAATGTTCTGTAGATATCTGTTAGGTCAATCTGAGTCAACATCTGTTAGCTCCATTATTTCTCTATTTGCTTTTTGTTTGGAAGACCTGTCCATTAGGGAGACTGGGGTATTCTGGGGTATTGATGTCTCCCACAATTAATGTGTGAGATTGATGTGTGATTTAAGCTTTAGTAATATTTCTTTTACAAATGTGGATACCCTGGAGTTTGGGGAATAGATGTTAAGAATTGCAATGTTCTCTTGGTGGATATTTTTTTTCTTTTGAGGAGTATGAAATGTCTTTCTCTATCTCTTTTGATTAATTTTCGGTGAAAGCTTTTTGTTAGAAATTAGATCAGCTTCACCAACTTGTTTCTTACGTTCATTGTCTTGGAAAATATTTTTTCCAATGCTAAACTCTGAGACAATGCATGTTTTCTGATGTTGAGATGTGTTCCTTGTATGCAGCAGGAGGACGGATCTTGCTTTTGCATCCATTCAGTTAGACTGTGTCTTTTTTTTTTTTTTTTTTTTTTTTTTTTTTTTTTTTTTTTTCGAGACAGGGTTTCTCTGTGTAGCTTTGCGCCTTTCCTGGAGCTCACTTGGTAGCCCAGGCTGGCCTCGAACTCACAGAGATCCGCCTGGCTCTGCCTCCCGAGTGCTGGGATTAAAGGCGTGCGCCACCAACGCCCGGCTAGACTGTGTCTTTT